TTTTTTTTTTTTTTCTTTTTAAAGAGCTGGGAGCTGGGGGAATAGGTGGGGCAGCCATTGAGAGCAGGTGAGGCCGATCTGGAGATTCAATTGATTTGGCGGTGGCCAAATCTTCGATTCAGATTTGGCTGAATTGATTTGGGACCATGATTCAAATCCCCAAATCAAATCATTGCCTCCTGAATTGTCTGAATCTGAATCCAAAGCGAATACTAGCTGCTTTGCACAGGCCTAATTCTTATCCTCTTTAATTCTCACCTTTGCCTTTGATGTTAAGGAAAATCCAAAGGGAAAAGTAAATACTGGGAGGCAAACTTCTGTTTCTTAATACAATTCCTCTGGCTGCCCAGCCTCTTTGCAGGGCTCCTCCATCTCCGTACCCTGCCTTTACCACATCAGATGTTTAGGGGTGTAATTTCTGAATTTTAGTCTGTTCTTAGTGCACTCACAGAGTCCTTGGAATGCCTCCAAATCGTGATTATCTCCCTCACCCCCGCCCTTTGACCTGTGTTCAGAATAGCACCACAGCTTCAGTTCAGCTCCGTCCTAAATCAAGGGTCCCAATTGGGCAGCATAGCCAGCCTACTCAGTCCCCTGGCTGGCTCTGAGTTCTGTCCCCATTGCAGGGGTGAGCTCCCCTCTCCCCCCCTTCACAGGGCACCTCTCCCCAGCTGTCCTTTCTCTTCTTTCCTCTAGGCTATGGACCCAGCATGCTTCACTCACTGGATGAACTCCTTGCAAACCTCTGATGAGACGTTCTTACACCAGATCTTCATTCAGACAAGTTTTGTTGCTGCAGATCCTCCTCTGCTGGCTCTGTGGACCCCCAGCTGGGGTTTGGTAGTTGCTATACCTCCATGTAGCTGCATGAGCTCCTGCTCCCAAGGGTCTCCCTTCTCTGGGGCAGACCTCTCACCTGGCTCCAGTGCTTTAACTTCCAGGTCAGAGCCTATCCGGTGTTTTCTCCTCTGTCTGCTCTTGCTCCTGCAGCGCTCAGCAAAAATCAATTAGAGCCACATCCTGGTTTCCCATGCCTTATTAGGGTTCTCAACATGCATATGAAGCACTCCCCATCCACGGCTCCCTTGCCTTTTTGTACTTTGGGACAGGGCATGACTTCTGCCCTGTCACACAGGGGAAATGACTTTTGAGGAATCATATATGCTCTGGTTTTCAAAGGTGCTTCACCTATTGTTTTTAATTGTAGCACATCTGTAAAACAGGCACCTCCTGTAGTCTATCTCCACATTTACTGGAGGAATGAAAGATGGATGAGCTTGCTATGGATCTAGAGAGAGGAAATAAATGTGTATGAAATAAAAAGAAAAATAAGGTAAAAGATATAAAATACTATTTGCATATACAGACACACAGAGATGATAAAGATGTACATAAACTTAGTGAATTTTACTATAAAAACACAGAAATAGGCAGCTTTCTTTGATCTACGTGTGTGTGTGCACAAACATACTCCCCTCCCCCCCTAATTAAGGTGACATATATTTATGCATCGACTTGGAGTTGAAGGATTGTTGACATTTTTTTAAAATAAAAGGAGCCCGGGATCAACTGTGCACAAGCACTGGAATCTTTGTGACTTGAAAGCCCAGAGGGTTAGCTGAAATGGTATCTTATAATTCTGCTTTTTGCAGGAAAGAATGCAAGCAAGGAAGCAAGCAAGCAAGCAAGCAAGAGTGCTCTGGAAAGTCACACCTGCCAAAAGCCGGCAGAGCAGAGCTCTCTTTCTTCCCTATGTGTGTTTGTACATGTGTCTGGTTTGTGAGCCCTATGATCACATGCATCTCCTGCTCCTGCCTCCCTCCCTCCTCAGCCTTCACTCCCACTGCACTACTTGTAACTTTTGCAAACTAGTCCAAAGCAGAAGCACTTATCACAGACAGGGCAATTTTCCCTCTTCAGATCTTGGGATTCACCAGCTGCCAAAGTTTCTGTTTTTCCTATCTGCTGAATAAGGATCTGGGACTCACAGAGGATCTTGGTGCAAAAAAAAAAAAAAAAAAAAATGATTTCCCTTAGCAAGAAAAGCTCATGTTTTTCTCAGCTCTGTCTTGCTCTCTGTGCCTTTGGGCTGGCACTGCTTGGAGATTTGTCCCAGGCTCTACCTATGGAGGATCAGGATTATTACTTGCAGGAGATTATTAACAGAGATCATTATTATTCTTTTCCGGAACCCACTGAGGAATATTCCCCTTTCATCGAACAACCTGAAGAGGAAGAATCAGTCCATGCTGCAGAGACAGAGAAGCCCCCAAAGCTCAGACCTGGCAGGAAAGAGTTAAAACTGAAGAAAGCCAACAAAAAAGAAAAATCCATTCTTGAAACTCCACCAGGTAACTTTCCACCTCTTCCTCCTCCAAACTTTGAGATCTCTGCTCAATCTCATGCTGACTTTGACTTTTAGAATTAATTAGTTCCTAGTAATGGTAGAAGTAGTAGTAATAATGAATATGCAGGTGATGATGATGAACCCACACACTAATTTTTTTACACCAAGTTTTGCAGCATTTGGGAAATCACACAAACTAATAACACCCTCCCCCTATCAAGTAGGGGGATTGCAAAAGCTCTGCCGTTTGTTAATTGAGGCAGTGCATGGACTTTTCTGTCTTAATCATATTTGACATTTGTCTAGTTGTTAAAACTCCAGTTTTACAATCAAACAGAGACTGACTGTATGGCTGAACCTGATTGTCTGATGGTGTCTCCTTTTTATCCCTCTTTGTTTTAATCTCGGAGGTGTTCCTGAGTTAGTTTCACATTTGAACATATGAATTACACTTGGATTTCACTTTAAAGTCTTTTCAAGAACGGTATGTAAACAGCTTTTCTGTAAGAGATACCATCTCATAAAAGAAGTTTTTTCCCCCCAGTTATTAGGAGGTACTTGTCAAATAAATTAAGCAAAAACAAAACCCAGACAAAAGCAGGCAGGCATACCTTCCATCGTCTCACTGACAACACTTAATTTCTTTTGCTGAAAAGCAATTGGAAAACCAGCAAATCACTATTATTGGCAAAACTGTGGTCAGTAAGCACTGTACAGAGGTTTCTATTAGGCACAGTTGTGCCTCTATGGAGTAGTAACCTGTTCTGTGGGCATATTCTGATTGTGCTGTGCTTACCTTATTGCTTTTTGGGATAATGAATATCATGCGCTATCATATTTTATCGTGCAATAAGCTACCGTTTTCTAAATTTAGAGAGAAATCCCGCAGGCCTCTGACCCAAACTCTTTTGGCTGGAAAAAGAATTTTGTAACATTAAAAGATGCAGGATAAAATACAAAAGTTGCAAATAAAACACATAAGCAGTCAGGACACAGCACATTTGAGAGTTAAGATTTTCACAGAAGCATCATAGATATTAAATTTGGAGATTCTGATTTACAGTTAAGACTTATTAAAGCAATTTTTTTTTATCAAGTGAACATTGGGTTTTCTTAAAATAAGAAATTGCTTCAACACTACCATTGCTGCAATGACAGCAGGGCAGAGAACACTAGTGACAAATATATGCCTTGTATGAGGACAGTAATGGCAGAAGACTCCCAAAAGCGGGGTACCAGAGGACACCAGCAGCTAGATAGCCGTTTAAAAGGATTCAGCCTTGATAGGGGCATTTCCGTCATGAACTTGTTAGTATATTAGCTGGGAAGTGCATGCAGTTTTAAAGCTATCTTCAGGTTCTCACTTGTCATATTTGGTATTACTAACATTTATGGAGCCCCCTATCTGCATACAGGGTTTAGTTTGTACCTCTCCAGACATCAGCTCCAATAAAGGCAATAGAAGCCCTGCATCCTTACAAGACATAGGGACATATTGTTGCCTGTGAGCCATAAAGGTAACTAGAAACTAAGTGTGTTGGCAGTGGTAGAGTTTACTTGGTAGTCTTCTCTTGCTGAAGTTTGTTGTGCTGAGGAAATAACTGGAGGTCCATTGCATTAAATCAACAGACCATCTAAGATGCAGTTAAAACTCAGGTGTCTGCCATGCTCTTTGGTGGTTCTCAAACCGTGGTCCCTGGGCTGCACACTCAGCCCAGTCAACACACTCCTGCAGCCCTAGTGATATCAGGGCTGTTTAATCCTGTTAAAACATTTTTTAAATGGATACACAGGAAGTAAGTTGTGTGGGTGCAGCTGACATAATAATTAAGCTACAAGCATGTCCCACTATGGCAAATAGGTTGAGAGCCACTGCTCTAAGCCATCCCATCAGATGCTCTGTAACTCTCTAATGACTTCAGGCTTCTTACTGGCCCTCCCTGACTTACATGGCAGCACAGTTGCAAGCAAACTTTGGAGAGTTTTGCATGCCATAGGATTAGAGGCAGGGATAGCATACTGACTCTCCAAGACAGCATTTACCTGCCTCATCTATGAGACTGCCCTTTCTCTTTCCACATTTCCTTGCCATATGCACAAAGCACCTTCCAAAGTCTGCAACAAATGGGGTAATAATTCTGGAGACAACATTCTCTTCTACACAGCCTTGATTCCTCCTCAAAGCAGGGGTACCCTGGGTACTGAATGACATAAGGAGGCTATGGAAAAATAGTATGTAATTAAAGGTTGTGTTACAATGTATGCACAGAAAATAGCCTACTTAAGGTCTTACTGGCAACCCAGAGTTCTGACAGCTCCCAAATCTGAGTATGTGGTTTTTTCAAAATTATGGTAGTAATGGTTTTTTAAATGAGTGGGTTTTTCCTGTACTTTCCTAGTTTTAAAAAAGTAAGAGAAATTCTATTATATAGCATCCTATTAACACCTACAAGGTCCATCACCATTGGAGCTTTTTGATCTACTGTCAAAACCTCTCTCATTTGAGCTGAGTGTAACTCCAAGCAATATGAGATTGTCATTAAGGCTGTGTGAAATAGTACCGTCCCACTTCGACTTCCATTTTGATGTTTTGATGGAACAGTGTTTTGTTTTGAGTTTCATTTAGTTTTGAAAACGCTGTTCCATTTTGTTTCGTCAAAACTGTTTCGCTGTTTCGACACTGTTTCGACGTTTTGCCCATAGACTATAATAGGGAAGCATGAAACTGCCTATATCTTTGTCATTTCTTGCCTAATTCAGATGAAACGTCCAGGGGTGGTAGCCCCTTCTGAGGCCATGAAGCCTGCCAAGTTTCAAGGAGATAGGTGTATAGGTTTCTGGGAAACTGTACCTCAAGGTGTTGACAAGAAAATCTCCTGTCATTTGATAGCAGTGGCAGCCTCCTGTCATCCAACAGGCAGATCCAGGGGCCCGCACCCCTGGGAGGGCTGCAGGGCTCTGCTGGACTCCTCCCAGGGGTGCAGGCCCCCAATCTGCCTGCCGAATAACGGGAGGCTCCTGCTGCTGCTGCTGCTGCTGCTGCTGCTGCCTGGGACCGGTGCTGGGCATAGCCCACACTCAGCGCCGGGAAGATTGGTGCTGCTGCTGGCCCCAGGTGGCAGAACTAGGCTCCTGTGATCTGGCAGGCAGATTGGGGGCCCGCAGCCCCAGGAGGAATCTGGCACAGCCCCCACAGCCCTCCCAGGGGTGAGGACAGGCCCCTGATCTGCCTGCCAGATGACAGGAGGCATTACCAATCTTCCCGGTGCTGGGTGTGGGCTCTGCCCAGCACCAGTCCAAGCTGGCAACAGCAGCCTCCTGTCATCTGGCAGGCAGATCAGGGGCCTGCCAGCACTCCCTGGAGGACTGTGGGGCTTTGCCAGACTACCACCACTGGGCTAAGCTCCAAGTGGCTCACAGCCCCATGGAGCTCAGCCTGGTGGTAGGAGGTGGAGCACAGCACTGGCTCTGCCTGCCTCCTGCCACCAGGCTGAGCTTCATGGGACTGGCGGAGCCAATCAGAGCGCAATGGCAGGAGGTGGGCAGAGCTGGCACTGTGCTCTGATGGGAGTGCAGCCTGGCAGCAGGAGGCAGGGAGAGCCAGGGCAGCACTCCGCACCGGACTATGCTACATGGGGCTTCGAGCTGCTTGGAGGGCAGCCCTGCCTCTTCTCTGCCTCCCGCCATCTGGCTGCTTCGAAATTCGAAATGTTTTGAAACTTTTGAAATGTTTCAAGTGCCTTCATTTCGTTTTGAAGCTGTTTCAGTGGTTTTTGTTTTGCTTCGATTTCACTGTTTCAAGGTCGAAATGTGTCAAAACAGCTTCGAAACAAAACACTCAGTGAAATTTCACACAGCCCTAATTGTCATTCTCTATGTGAACCAGCATTAGAGTGGGTTTTTGCCAGTTGGATTCAAAGATAATAGCTGATAACAAAGGAAGGTTGGTATTCAGGAATCATGGCACCTGTGTCCTGTCCTCCCTGTGCCTGTCATCCTACCCCAGCTCCTCATTGCAGTGTTGCCCTATTCTTTTGTTCCTATGTCCTTGTTTCAATCCTAGTCTCCACCTGGTGTTCACTCCTTGGCATCTCTATCTCAGGTGCTATCTGCTTGACTAGTCATTTCCAGTCTCCATCCAGAGACCCTCATACCCCATCCAGTCCCATCAGGTTGGATGGGGCATGAGGGTGCTATAGTGCAGGGCTAGGCGACAGGCAGCCCTTACTTTGTAGCACCCTCATGCCCCAGCCAGCCCCTGTCATGGTCTGCATGTGTACTGAAGTGCATGCAGCTACTCCACTCTAAGATAGTACTGTCCCAGACAGTACTATCCTATGGCAGAGTTAGTTAATTTACTGCACCCTAATACCAGTGCACATGTAGGCTGTGACGCTTTATTGCAGAACCTAATTAGTCAACTCCACAGTAAAGTGCAGGTGTAGATGCACCCACTGTACTTCACTGAAGTGCAGTCCTTCTCCTTTCCTTTCACTACCTGGGCTGCAGCCCTGTAAGTCAGGGACTGCACAATTTTCTTAGTTCTAATGACTGGTGCCAGGCAACCCAGAGTAGTCAGAAGCAGCAGTTTCAAATCCTGCTCTGCCCTTTCACTCTAGGTTGGAATATAATCAATGATGAGATTTCAGCTGCCAGAATCTAACAAGTTCTAACAGAACAGGTGTAATCAAAAATATTTCAAAGGATTATAACTTGGCCAAACATAGGTGTTTTTCATGGAGTCAGCAAAAGACATATCCAACACTAGGGTGATCCCCTTACCAAGTTGCAAATCCTTGCTTCAAAGTATTGAGGCACTCGAACTTCTCAATGCAAGAATGTTTTTAAAGATATATACGTCCTCACCAACAACCAAAACATTTTAATATTTTACTGTCACATCCATAATATACCCTGAGGTAGACTCGTCAGTATGGAGAAATTCAGTCTAAATGGTTAACATTTAGAAAAGCTGTAAGCAATGGAAAGCAGGGGTTTCATAGT